ATGACTTGTAGTAGTGACGTGGGCTTCAATGACCGAAGAACTTTGTGTGAGGCTCGTCCAATCACTAGTCTGTCGATTCTGTCCCACCTCGTCCTGTGACGACCTGTCGGGTTGTGCTTGTTGAAGGACGGCTTGTAACGAGATGTCGAAGCGACGTCGGCCATCGCCGTTTGGGTCCCCTTACTCTTACAACTACCTGCTAAGATACATGTCGATGGAGCTTTGGATTTTGCCGTGCATACAATTTCTGACTGGACTACAATGCGAACTTCGGAGTGGGCGGTGCTGATTCTCTATCGACATGTTTTCTGGGGGAGTTCACAACGCATAGCCGGAAATCGCCGCATGGGCGCCTCCCCGGCTGAGCAAATCGCCGCAAGCGAACCACAAAGTTCGGGGCCATCGCTGAGGAATTCTTTCGACCTTGGCACGTTTGTCTGGCGTTGTTCGTCGCAACACGCATTGAGGCGGGTCTTCGGCCGAAACGCTGGGGGTTCGTCGGGACGTCCCTCTTTCATATCAGGGGCGCTGGACAAATGGGCATGAGCGTACTTGCTCGCCACAGTGGCATCTGTGACATCGTGCTGCGATTACTCCTTCGTCGAACCTTTTGTCGAGGAGCTTGCGAAAGGGAGCCCCGCCAATTGGGCGACCGTCCACGCGGGTAACCGGAAGCATACTGTGTCCACCATTGTCATTGCTGCCGTTGGCCATGAGGTCCGACGCTGGCTCGGCAACACCAGTCCATCAATTCCAGGGTTCAGAAAGCCATATCAATCACCGTGTTTCCCGTCAGCGTGACTCAAAGAAAAATTGATTTAAATCCTGGGACCGATCCCTCCATTGTTCTGCAGACTTATGTACATTCTCCCCCGCCGCCCGTTCAGTGGTGTCCCTTGCCGTGGCTGTCTCCGTGGTGTCCGTCGTCGAGGAAGAAGTACTCGTAGGCGCAGTAGGCGGAGAAAGCGACGGTCGCGATGCCGAGGCCAGGGAAGCCCGTCTTGAATCGGTTCCAGCGGGTGAACTGGCCGGTGTAACGCCACGCCTCACTATCATGTCCTGGTCAGCTGGAAGCTCCTCATCGTCAGTGCTATCGAGAAGGACTGACGCTCGCTCCCAAGGGTCGTATCGGGGCTGGCCTGTGGACGCCTTGAGGGCGCGGATGTCGAAGCCGGTGATGTTGGGCCTCTCGCCCTTGGCGGCAAGTCGTAGTCTGTTGTACAATTGATGTCAGCAGGCGTGCGGGGACGAAGATGCGTCAATTGATTGCGGCGTGCTCGTCTCACCTCGTCGGCTGCATGGTGTCTGGTGTGTTTGTGTCGCTGTGGTGGTTGGCGATGGAGAGAGAGAGAGAGAGAGAAAGGCCCTAGACAGAGGTCGTTCTCGATGTGAGGTTGTTCGCGGTTCGACGGCAAATGCCGTGAGCGCATCCTGCCTTGTGGTGGGTCCCACGCCCGGTGCACTGACCACCTCAGTCCGCCATGCCCAAGGTTGTCGGTCAGCTGGCCCTGACCTCGTTCAGGTTCCTTCAACCTCAACCATCGAACTGTAGCCCGATCAAGACAATAACCCCCCGGACCACAGCCCAGCTATCGCGGCTGAGCAACCAAAAAGCATTCAATTCCCATCGCACTTCGAGCATCGTTACCGTCGCGCACCGCCATCCTCGACCCCTTGCTTCGACATCCCTCCACGACACGGTCGGCACGACTCCACCTGCGACAAGTCACCACGACTGGGGCACGAGGCCACATCAGCGAGCTAGCCCAGCCTGCATCCCTCGAACCACTGCCAATGCAAGGCCGAGGACATCGTCAGCACCCTCAGTCATTTCACCACCACGGCAATCCAGCCCACGGTTAGAGACCTCCAAGTTTCGCTTACCATTCCACGCACGGGCTCTGTCCATCGCACCCGATCACCTATTTCCCAAGGTCACCTCGACCCCCGCCCTATCGCGGACGCCCTCATCGATACCATCCCCTACGACGTCCGTATAGCGCTGGTCACTGCCTTGGACCTTTCCAATCTGGCATGCCGCCTCCCCCGCTCAGGTACCCTGGCGGGCCCAACACGATACCGCCCTCTTACCACCAGCAGTTCTCCTCCCACGCCCAGGGACATGGTGCTGCTCACGGCCCACCGCTAGGTGGCAACCCTTCCTACCTCAATGCCAACTCGCAAAGCAGCCCTTTCTCCATCGGCGGTAACGTCCTCGGCGGAGTCGGAGCTCTTAACGGAGGGTTCGGCGTCGGCGCGGACACAGGAGGGCTCGGCAGCCATGCTGCGCGCATGGGCTTCCAACAGGCCGCCAACATTCACCAGCAACAACAGCATGGCCAGGGGCAGCACGGCTTCGGTGCTGATCACGGCGGTGCCAACATGCGCGGCGGTCACAATAAGGGCAGGATACGAGAGGTGTGGAAGCACAACCTCCACGAGGAGATGGCCGTGCTGAGAGACCTGGTGGACAAGTATCCTTATATTGCTATGGTAAGAGAAGAGAATGGTCTTCTGGTTTGACGTGCGTTGTTTTCTCTAATGCTCGCGGACAGGACACCGAGTTCCCCGGTATCGTGTCACGGCCAATGGGAGGCTTCAGGGGAAAGAGCGACTACCACTACCAATGCCTGCGGACCAACGTCGACATGCTCAAGGTCATCCAGATCGGTCTCGCCCTTTTCAACGAAGAAGGCGAAACCCCGCCTGCGCGTCCGAGCTCGGCGGACCTGGCAGACTTTGGCCCGGCCGGCCGACGGAGCGCCCAACAGGGACCGTTCCCTTACGCGTGGCAATTCAACTTTAAGTTTTCCCTCAAGGACGACATGTACAACGAGAAGTCGATCGAGTCCCTGCAAACCGCGGGCATCGACTTCAACCTGCTCGAGCGCGACGGCATCGACCCCCACGACTTTGCCAGTCTCCTGATCCCATCGGCACTGGTCTGCTTCGATAACGTCAGCAGGATCTCGTTCCACGAGGATGCGATTTCGTATACTTGACCAGCTGCTGCAGTGCCGCGGCCTCCCTAGCGACGAGGTCGACTTTGACCGCATCATGAAGCTGTACTTCCCGTCGACATACGACGTCAAGCATCTCATGAAGCATGCCATCCGGCTGCACAATTCGGGCCTCCTGACGCCGAGCGACCCCAGCACGAGTGAGATTCTGCAAAAGTTCGAGCACAAGTCAGGCCTGGAGAACATTGCAGAGACCCTCAAGGTTAAGCGCGTGGGCGCAGCGCACCAGGGCCGGCTCCGATTCGCTCATCACGGGCAAAGTCTTCTTCCAGATGCGCGAGAAGATCTTCAACGGCGACATTGCCGACGACCACGTGTGGGGTCTCGGCATCCCGGACGGCGGCCTCCTCATGGGCCACATGATGGGAACCCACGCCGGCGCCGGTGGTGCGGGCTCACACGAGCCGAACGGCCAGCAGCAGAACGGCACGCCCAGTACGCCCAACACGGTCAGCGCCGGCCTCGTCAGCACGCCCGGCGCGCAGTCGCACAACACGAACGGGTTCAACACGGGGCCGATGACGCCCGGCGGCGGAGGCGGCGTCTTTGGCAGCTTCGCCTTCAACGCCAACCGCTAGAGGGGGCCTCCGCTGCGCTACGGCGTGTTTCGTCCGTCGTCCGCCTGAAACCTTTGACCGAAGACAAAAATATTAAAAAAAAGGGCAAATACGAGTAGTAAAACCAGCAGTCGCGCACGCTTGTTCGTTTTTCTCCGTCTCGGAGGTCGAGGGCGGACGAATGAAGGGGGGCGAATCATTTCCGTGGAAAAGGTAAAAGGGAGGGGCGGGGCGTCATTTTGGTAGGGACATTCCTCGTTAGGACGACGCACGGAGTTAGGATGCCCGGTGGGACAAGGGGAAAAGGGCGTCGTCGCTCGCTTGGACTTTGTCTCCCCGTGCCGGATCGCTGGATTTGGGGGCGGCGCGGCGCGGCCCTCGTCATGTACTGTATTGTGAATACCTTAGGTTAGCCAGGGCGGGAAGGAAAGGTAGCCGGGTTGGTCGGTAGGTAGGGCAATGCCGAGCTGCTTGACTTTTACGCCATCTCGTGGTGCGGTGACTGGGCTCCTCATGTTTTCCGTGTTGAGGCACTCGGCGTGAAACAGGATTCGCAAGCCTCGCAACAGTGTGCAGCTCCCGATTCAACCAAGTGTCATCCCAAAAAGGTTCGATTCAATATATCTGCCCCTTTGACCCAGCTGATTCAAGCTCGTCACAGCGAACTCAGAATGGTCGTGTGGCGACGCAACCTCACATCCCGCTAATGAAAAAAAAACGCCTTCCGTAACACCTTTCCTGAACACACTCGAAGAAACAAAGTACGCCATGTCCCATAATGATACGCTCTGTTTCATCCTCCCCGATCCCACATCACGTAATGTACACCTTCTTCAGCTCCTCGGCATGATACGTCGCCCCCGTCTTGAGGTCCTTGACCTCAACCTCGGGCTCGAGCCCGGACTTGCGCGCATAGTCCTCGAGGCGGTCCTTGCCAAAGGCGTTGCCGTTCGGCAGCAGCAGGAGGTCCGTGTCGACGTGACTTTTGGTGTGGTGGGCGTACGGGACGTTGCGCGCGAGGTCGTTGAGCTCGGTGGAGCAGATGGGGCAGGACGCGGCGGGGCTCGAGATGGCGGCTGGCGGGCCTGTTGTTGGTGATGGTGGTGGTGGTGGTGAGGATTCTGGGAGTGGGCGCCGTCGCCGGAGGGCTCCGAGTGCATGCCGTGGTCTTGTTGCTGCTGTGGCTGGCGCCAGCGCTGGGTTTCGTTGGACGAGGACTGCGAGATGCCGGCGTTGGTCTCAATGTATTGTTCCGGGGAGAAGGGTACCGTGGTCGTGAAGGAGGCGACGGCGCTGGAGGAATGGCAGGCGGGTGTCTTGAGGGCGGAGAGGCCGGAGGAGAGGGCGATGTGGAGAAGGGGCAGGCGGGGCAGGGCGAGCAGCTCGTTGTGGTTGTTGGTGAATATGTCGACGAGGTTATTCCAGCGGTCGGGGCTGTAGAGGGTGGCGTAGGTTGTGTTGGCGGCCGCGTCGGCGTTGGAGTAGGCAAGGAGTCCAAAGGCCTTGCGGCACTGGTCCGGATAGACAGACTTATAGGGGACGATGTACTTTTTGGAGTGGGCGATGGCCTCGAGGTACTTGTGGCTGCGGAGGAGCTCGACGTATTGCTGGAAGCGAAGCATAAATTCGAGACTGCTCTGTGAGGGGAAATTGTCAGTATGACGGCCACACACTTAAATTCCGATCTCATATAGAGGAAAACACATACATCTTTCTTGCGCAGCTCCTTCTTGTTGTCTTGGCACCAAGCAAGCGCTTTCGGCAACGCTGCCCCGACGTAATGACTCCTGGATCTTGCTCATCGAGACAAACGTCTGGACGTCGACGAGATCCTCCATATTCTTCTCTGTAGTCAGCGCATGGGCGCTGTCGTTATAGCCTTGCCGCAAAAGGTAGTCAACCAGGAGGCGGTCGAGCCTCTTACGGCTCCAGGTCTCGTACTTGACATCGTCAAAGCTGTGCATGCCGTAGAGTTCGCCTAGATGGGCGATGCGGGCATCGGTCTGATGATAGAGGCGGGCCTCCTCGTCAGCGTAGGTCGTGAGTTTGCGCTTCACGCCCCGCATCTTGGCGATCATGGCGTCGAGATTCTGCAAGACCTGGTCGGGCGAGGCCCGCCCATTGACCGAAGCGGTGGCCGTGTCTTTGAGGAGGGCCTTGATGGAAGTGCTCTCCTTCTCGACGGTGAAGTGAGCAGCCCGAAAATTGTTTCGTAAGAGTTCGTACGGCAGGCGGAGAAGGGGTTGATCCTGAGAGTGACAGAGTTAGCTGGGGTTTCCTGTGCTCGCGAGGTGCTGGCATTGAGTGAGGAATCATACAAGGAGGACATGGTCCTGGTGTTTGATGGTGGAGTGCTGGTGGTCGCCCATGGCTGCCACAGCTTGAGGTCAACACTGGGAAGTGGTGTACGGGCTTGCGGCAGCTTGGATGGGATTTTCCCAGTGGCCAGACGTCGGTTGGGTCGGGTGTAGAAGGTGGAGGGGTCGAGGTCTCGGTAGAAGGAGGCTCATGGAGAGCTCTGGGTGCTTGTGGCTGGAGCTGCAGTCAGTGACATCGGACCATTGACGTGATGCAGGCCGGGAACAGTGGGGCTCTCCTCGGCCGGCCCTTGACCCCAATGGCTGAGGTAGGCGTCCATGCAGATATGCCCATGTTTCCACTTCGAATCTACCTACTTGACGTCCTATGCTTCCCTGGGCCATGCGAACTACAGCATGCGTCACGCGAAAGCCGGCAAAAACACACACTCATTCTGTCGTGGATCTATGCCTGGAACCTGTTGCCCAGAGAGCCCTGCCCGCGGCAATACGTGCCACTTCTAGCCACACTTGTGGCCAAGAGGCGCACGGCTGATCAATCGGAACTCCACGGGCCACAGCCTGTTGCATGCTTACGCGAATGGCAACATCCAGCAGCCTTGCCCTGTCTCACTCGAGCCTAGTCAAGTGATTCCGAGGGTGCATCCAGTACAATGATCAGGTGATGACCGGTGAGGCTCGGTGTGCTCGAGCTCGCACGAAGACTGGTCTAGCCCCGCCTGCCTGCGTTTTCGATAAGAGGACATGATAAGACAAGGCAACCCTCGTCCGTCGTAGCTCATTGGTACGGGGCAGACTGGCGGAAGCAGCCAGGTTGCAGGTGCTGAGCCCAGGTGTGCTCCAGATGGCTCGCTCATTGGTCGGTTGGCACCTGGTGGTGTGTTGGCCTCAGGCGGCGACCGGGATTGCACCTTCCAGCAATATTTATGGCCAGCCTCACCCACTTTTGCACGTGTTCGGTCCTCACCCCGTGACCTTGACCACTTGCACCTCCAGTACCCAGCCGGATCCCATCGCCGCCCCCCCCCCCTTGACCAGACGTGAAGAGACGCGATAGCCATCGAGAACAAGGCCATATTCTAAGGGTTCTCGTCAGCTCAACATTGAAAACCCATCTTCGACGCTTGATATTACTTGTTCTTCACTTCTTTTTTTCTCCTGCACCACCATTTTGGCCCGTCAAAGCACTTGGTCCTCTCCCCAACCCGGCCATCTTCTATTGCCCCCGCCCACCGCGCGACACGCGCAGCGCGATATCACGAGATCACAGCAGTCACTCCTCCTCACGTGCAACCCGCCTAGCACTGTCGCCCGTTCACTGGCCGCTCCAGGGACATGATCTGGAAGGGATGTCGGCTTCTCATCTTCGTCACTCATCACCGGTCACCCTGTGCGGCCCTTGCATTCGTAATATCGCGCACTACGGAGAAATCGGCCGCTGTGTGGCATTTCAATCCGATCACCTACTGTTTTCACCGCCTATTTTCTTTGGCCTTTGC